CCCCAAAACCCCAAAACCCCAAAACCCCAAAACCCCATTGACTTGAATTTTAGAGAATCACGCAAAATTATAAATGTAAATATATAAGCATTTTCATTATAGTAGTCTTTCATTGACAACCAATTCAAATTAGTAACGATATTTAAACAAATCTTAATATAGTTGCTATACAATGCTACAAGTCCTGCTATCATATTCATTTGTGATTGTTGTAGTATTTGTGGCCATTTAGAGTTGCTTTCTTAAATAGTCCTGTAATTTGCCTATACTCATCTTCCTCCTTAATAACCATATCCTTAGTGCTTAATTCATTATATCTATTTGAAACTCTTGCACTGACTGGGGCTTAAATAGTGGGCAGGCTCTTCTCTATGCTCTTTTGGAGTTTATTATTACTTTTAAGTACTTAGCTATGCTTCATCTGTTTTGCATTATAGCCAGGTGCAGGCGGAATGTCTTATTATGCATTTTAACACGCGCTGCTAGCATTATTATTTGAACATTATTGAACGTTATGCGGACTCTTAATCTAGATTAAACTCATATTTTTAATGGGGTTTGGATGCTAAATCTGTTGTTGATTTAAAACTGGAATCATTAGACTGCTTCTATTTATAGATCTATTTTTAGGAATGTTTTACACTTGAGGAATATTTGCATAGGAGCTATTATTTTTTTCATCAAATGTCGTTTCATAGGTATTATCTAAGGTCTATGGTGCTTAATATGACTCGAATGGTTTCAATATGCTGTGTAATTTTGATTTCTTTAATAGCGCTTGCTCAATTAATGAGTGATTCGTAGCAGTCTTTTGAGGCTTTCTGGCCTAAAACTTATGATATTTTACGAGGCTTTAGGTGCTTGAGGTATTCATAATTTAGTAGGATTTATCAATGTTATTGTTTGATTGATTTGATCTGTGTGACAGTGGAGGAAGGCCACTATGAGGCTAGAGCTCTAAATTTAATGACTGATTACTTGCTCTTCTTCCATTTTTTAAAAACTTGTCATTCTTAGAAATAAATTGCTAGGATTTTAGTTATTAAACTTTTGGAGATTTTTCCTCCAAACCCTTCGGTGAAATAATTTTAATCTTAATTGTCTCAAATTTAAGTTTAGGAACTTAAGATTATACAGGACTCTTCTTAGCCTTTTCCTTAAAATTTTTGGAGAAGTCCTTGAAGTTTTACTTACTATCTTGATTCAGGAACCTGTGATATGGTCTTTCTTTAAGATGAATTTAGCTTGAGGATGCACTGAGGTTATACGCATATTATATAGTCCTGACTTTAATGTGATTAGCATTTTCAACCTTCTCAAGTTGGAGTGTCTCATCTTAATCTACTTCTTCAAGTGTAGTCTCAGGATTTAGAACAAAATAATCCTGATTAAGCTTGCTAAGCTCATAACTCTTCCTTTCATCTATAAATATAGCTTAGCTTTTGTTCTGAAGTAGTGCTTTATTAGAAGGCTAATTTGATTTTGATAAGCTCGCTCCACCTCTGGCATTTAAACTTTAATTATTGCTTGTACTTGTATTATGATGCTTATTCTTATCAAATCTACTTTAAGAAATGCTTGAATTTGAGAATAGCATGTTCTTTGGCTAGTTTATTTGATTGTAGGATAATAGCTATTATGGATACATTTAGCATCTGCTATTTCTTTTACTTTAGGCATTAGAGTTATCTCTAGCTTCTTATCTCACTTCTCTTGTTCGATTTTAATCAATTATGTTACTATTCTCTAGACTTATCATGGCATGATTGTTTAACACAGAAATGAAATTGATATTCTTCTTTATATAATTAGTCTTAGGATTGCTTCCCCCACTGACATTGTTTTTAAAATGATCCTTGCTATGATTTTTGCTATGATTGTGCTCATTATTATAGCTCATATCAACTGTTGTAGTTTTAGTAGGTTGCTGCACACTGTAATTTCTAGTATCGCATTATGAGGTGCTTTACTGTTGGTATTATTTCTTATAGAGTTCAATAATGGCTTTGCTTGTTACACTAGCTTTTCTGTTTTTGACTAATTTATTGACGTTTTCAAGACTCTTTGATTTTTTACTTGACATTGGTCTTTTTATTACTACACTGTCCTCCTCAGCGACTTAAAACTCATCATAATTTATCTGTAGCTATGTTTAGTCGAATTCTATATTTGATTTTTCACCCTCATTTTCCTCCTCCATTATGGCAATTCTTGTCTTTCGAGGCTCCTAGATTGTTTAGAATTAAAGCCTGTCACCAGATTTTGTCACTCTGCCATTTAACAATGATTAGCTAAGTGGCTTTTGGTTTTCTCTTTTTGGAATAGATTTGTGATTGTCGCATTCAGAAGCAGATCTCTCAATAGATGAATTATGCTAAATAGCTATGGTATTATGTAAAGCTGCAAATGTCTTAGAATGTGCTTAGAATCCTCCAAGCATCGAGAGATTTGAGTTTCTACCGGTTATTAAAGACTTTTCATATATAGTGTTTTCACTTTGATATTTCTGAACTAATTCAGTGATCTTCTAGTTGTTACTTGAACTATCTCTTTGTGGATGTACTTTTGATACTTCAATTTTAACATTTGAAGTTGACTAACGATTGGATTTTGAAGTAATAGCTTTTTAATCTACTTTTAAAATCGATTCACTAGATTGATGAGCTCTAAGTTTCTAATTTACTATTGAACTTGAAATTAAACAGTTAGATTGCTTTGGAATACTTGCATTATATTGATATCTTGTAATCGAACTACCTGAGCATATGCTCTGCTTTCTAGATCTAGAGTTGTTCTATGATTTAATTGTAGACACTCTATTTGGCTGCAAATTAGTGATATTATGATTGATAGATGACGGCACTTAGCCAATTTTTTGATGAGTTTAATTCTATTGCTGCTGTTGATGATGATGATGGCTTTACACTTTCTAAGTAATGAGATTTAGTTTTATCATTGACTTCTAAGGATATGCTCCAGGTATATGAGCTTATTATTGCTGGTTGTTGTTAGCTTGCTAGGCATGAAGATTAGAGGCGCTTTAGTTTCTCTGTTTTAATGACAAATTCATATTTTTATTTTGAGCTTAGCTGTTTGTTGTAGAATTCAAATGGTTGTTGACGTGAGATATGTTAGTGGTGCATCTTGTTACTGGCATTGACATCAATTGAGAAGTGTTGAAATTCTTAGTTGAATCTATTGACTAAAGCTTTAATGCTAAATCATCATATTTATTTCCAGGATTAGATGATAATCTGCAGCTCTTTTGGACTGGCTTACTCTTTGAATTATTTTTATTGGTAGGGGGGTTATGAGCAGGTGCTTATTAGTTTTCCTTGTTCACCTTAGCTAAATCATACTTTCGTTTTTATACTAGTTTTTATGAATCTCTGATTATACTTTGCTTAGTCTGATTACTCACTCCAGGTTTTTGCAGATTTAAATGTGATACTGAGGATCTTTGAGATTACTGGGCTGATGGTACATTATTGAATAGAATGTGACTTTATTTATTACTATTTTGAAGACTAGGTATCTAATCAATTAGTTTCTTAGACAACATCGATTCATCTCCAAGATCATTTTCATCATTATATTCATATTCATTCAGGTGAGTATTACTTGTGTCGCGAATATCACGTGAGCCTTTCTGCACAATAAATGAATCGTTTATAATGTTCATATTTGACTCTAAAATTTTAGACTTTCTGTTATTTTGATGTATGTGAATACTATCATTAGTCTAGCCATTTGGATTTGGTTCACATGTACTCAATAAAGACTTCTAGGTCTTTATTTTACAGAATAATGAGAGTTTTATGCTCTTATAGTTTTAGTCATATAGTGAGTAAAGTTTTTCAAAGCACTCGAATATTTCATTATATGGGTCAATCGTGTAACCAGTAATTTCTTAGAATTTTTCATTCCACATTGGCACAATTTTGAGGTCAAATCTTGCCGCCAGAATGCAACTAAGGCCAACAACTGAAGGAGGATATAGTTGAAATTCCCATTCTGATTTAGCACTTAAATCTGCAAACTAATCTGACTTTCTCCTAACATCTCTAATTAACTTATCTGTTAAAGGTGCTGTGTTCTGACTATCTAATTCAGATTAGATTCTGTCGTCTTCAAAGACTATTCCTAGTGATTAGAGGGACTAGATACTGTGTACAGGTGTCAAAAATTATAGATTCCAGTTAAGCTGATTCAACACCAACTCCTCTTCATCTTTACATTCCTTGTATGCGAATTCGTATCTTGCAAGCTTTTAAAAATCTCTTATCATAGGAATCCTGTCATCGAGTTCATCATATTTAGAAGCAAGTAGTAAGCACATCTAGGCCTTAAGAGCAAGCTTCCTCACTCTTTGCTTATCTGAAACTAAAGCTGCTTGAAGCATTGAGCCATTTTATACTTTACCTGAACTGTTTCGATCTTAGATAGATTTTTGTAAGTCTGAAATCACCAACTTAAATAAAAGATAGTCGAAATATGCGCAAGCAAGATGTATTGTTAATTAAGATTGTCTTAATTTTTCCCCATAGAGAAAAATCTTTTCGATATTACATGTTCACAACTATAGAAATTGTTACTAACAAAATAACTAAGCATACACTGTTTAAATCTGCTTTATCACTTTCACTCATTATGCTTGTGTGAGTCTGATAATAATGGAAATAAGACATAAATTGCTCGTCCTCCAAAATAGTCTCATACTGCTCTATTGGAGAGATGTCTGCTTAGAAATTGAATCCTAATTCCTTTACTGTGGTGAGACCATTCTATAATATTTATTAAAACCAAATTCTCAAAGATAAACCTACCTATGCAATGAAACAGCCACATTTACTACAGTATCTCTTGATTTTACTATCAGATTTTTGACTCCTTTATTTGACGATTGATTTATGATCGCAGTATATTTAAGGCAGCGGAGGTTGTACATCAACCGAGCAATAATTTTAAGTTAAAACTACTGAGTAGTTTTGGTTTTGAGTTGAGTTTGGCATGATATATAGGCTACTTGTGCTTCTTTTGCAGGTGTTGTAGGTTTAAGTAAGATTGGTAGTTGTTTGTTTAGCAGAGATAAAATCTCTCTTTGATAATTAATAATTTAGTTTTTAAAATGTTTCGGTTAAACTACTCTCTCTAATATTATTAATTTCTTGAAATTTAATGTAATAAAATTCAACTGGTTTTGCATTCTCAATTTATTATAATCTTAGCACAGTGGGGTTTTGGGGTTTTGGGGAGATCGGAAGAGCGTCGTGTAGGGA